AGCTGTGCTAGATAACACACAAACTAATGGTCATGGCTGGGTCTCAATAAAACTCTATTTATAAAAACAGGTGGAAGACCACATTTGGCCCATGGGTAATAGTAGAACAGAGAAGCATGTGGAAAAACTAGGGCATTAATGATTCTTAGCCAAAGTGATATAGAAGATTAAACTCTGGACTGCAGAGGCTTTAGGAATATCTTAGCTAATGTATTTTAATTACATTTTCTCTTGTGTGTATGAAAGAGCAATGTATGATTAAAAGACAAGTAAAAAAACCTATATCTGGTTATGTCTCAAAGACCTGATTCAAATGGGTAAGGTGAAATTGTGTAGTGAAAAAGTCCCATGTGTAATTTAAATAGAATTTTAGAAAAAAAGGCACATCTTAAAATCATGGCTTCTTAGACTTGAGCAAACAAGGTTTGTGCCCACAGAGAGCAGATACTGTGGCTAAGACGAGGAGTTGCCCAGGGTCACCCAGTGATTGACTGAAACTGCACCCATATATCTCGGGTGGCTGATGACTCACAGAGCTTCTTCCCAGCAGAGCCCAGACACTATGTTGACGCTGTGACCCAATGGCCCTGGAGAGGGGACAGCCAAAGGAGACAATGCACTAGGGCAGGGGCTGAATGTGCCTCACTGTCCCTGCACTCCTGGAGCCTGGCCAGCCTCTGGGGCATAGAAGGTGACTGATGAGTGGCACCCGTTGGCATGAATTCAAATCATGATTCTGTCCCCTAATTCACCTGTACAGGCCTCAGTATTAGGACAGGTGAATGGGTGGGTGCAAAGGTGGTAGGATAGATGGGTGGGTGGGTAAAAATATAAACAGATGGACGGACAAATGGTGGGTGGAGCCTGGACAGAAGGAGGCCCAGAGAGAATGGAAGAGAGCTGACTGGCTGGACAGCAGGCAAGAGATCCAGTGAGGATGGGTGGACAGATGGATGGATGGATGGATGAATAAACAGAGGAACAACCCAGAGCCAGAGGGAAAGCCTCCTCCATAACCTAGAGCACACACTCAGAGCAAGATCTGGCCCACGGTGGACACTCACTGGCTGAACCAGAACGTTGTTCTTGCCGTAGAGCAGGATGGCTGTGGAGTTCTGGTGCAGGGACTCCACATAGTCACGGGCAGACAGGGACGGCCGGTCGTTCATGCTTCCGCTTGAATGCCTCTTCTGGATCTGGTAGTGTGACAGGAGACAGACAGGTGGCCCTGGAGTGACTTCTACCCTGTCCCCTGGCCCAAGGCCCTCCCACAGCCCCGCCTCCCACAGCCCTGCCGCCCACAGCACTCACACAGAGGGCTGGCCGCTTGCTGGGCGAGTCCTGCCATAGGTGTGAGCTATGGATGCGGAGGGGTCGGTCCAGAAGTGATCCGCGGTCTTCATCTTGGTGTACTCCAGGGCACAGGGCCCCACTACAGAGCACAGGGGGCTGGGAACTGCAGCCCCAGAGTCCACCCTCCCAACTCCCGAAGGAGGGGCCACTCGTTCCACCACCCCTCCCCTTCAGCCAGCCGGGAAGCCCCAGAGTCCTGCAAAGAAGAGGCCAGAGGAGGCCCTGGGAGCAGGAGGCAGTGAGCAGTTTGGATGGAGGAGGCTGGAGAGGAGCCAGGGGCCCTCAGGAGGCACCCCTGAGGCCCAGGACCACATGGAAGTCAGAGCACCAGACCCCTTACCCAACAAGGATGCAAGGATGGGACCGTCCACGGGGTCCACCAGGAGAGCTTCCTTCTCATAGTATTTA